AGAATTTTGGGCTTTAATCCATACTTTAATCCGTGTAATCTTTGATCACTAAAGAAAACTTTTCTCCAATTTTACTGAAACAGCTGGCTTAACCAAACATGCTTGGACACATGCGAGGCGTACACTTCAAGATGAAAATAAATGGGACAAAAAATTTAAGTGCAAAAAAGGCATTAAAAGTGCGACTTTTTCCTTTTGTTTCATTATATGACCAATCAATCGGTGGGGGGATGTTTACCGTATGTGTAAAAAGACGCTGATGATGATCAAAAAAAAGTGGGAAAAGAGAGGTAGAGATAGAAAGTGGCCGCAATTTAATGGATGTGCAGCCTATCGCTAAGTATTAGGTCTTCGCCATTATAGCTGCGATCAGGTTGACATGGTCAAGCTGCACTGAGATCTGAACCGGCAAACATCAACTTGGTAGCTGCTACTTTTATCTGGTCAACTGTATAGGCAGTCCAACCAAAAGTATGAAACTTCTTTGGGTACAAGGATAGAAAAACAAAAGAAAAAAAATTTGAAGACAATCCTTTAATAAAGACTATCTCGTCTCCACTCTATGAGTGAAATAGTTTCTACGTTAAAAAGAAACAACGAAGGAAGAGAATTGTTTATGTTTTTATAAATTTATGCTAATTATTGAGATGAGAAACATTCGATTCATCACATTCATCGCTGTATCGTCTCAAATATAATATTAACGGATAGCTTATATTGATTCCACCGAATTCCTTTTACTTAAACTTTTCTCTCTTATTAGTAGAGGAATAGGTAAATAAATTGTTATTATTATTAATATGACAGTAATTCAGCCAGAGACATAAATGCTCAAAAAGAAGTCTTAAAGCATCAGCATCCAAAGCTATCGGCTCTGCCGCACTAGACACTTAGTCAAGTTTCTTTGCCTATTCGGCCACTCAGGCGGTTCTAAATAAGATTAATAGAAAATCTTTATTGAAAACGCAATAAACAAAATTGACGAACAAAAATCTACAATACTCGCATCTTATATCGGTCCTTCTCTATATACCATCAAGGTCGAGAGAATCAAGATCAAAATATTTGCAAAAATTCGCTTTGGTCATATCATGATAAAGTCGTTGCGAATGCCAATGTAAACGAGTTCCAGAATTCGTTTTCGAGGCGTCTAACCCTATGGAGATTATATGCAACGTACGTGGCGAATATAAGCTTCATTAAATCGCTTAAACTAAGCATCTAGCATCGGCCCATCCTAGCTTTTAGCTCAAAAGCTTATTTCTTCGATTTAAATTAATTAAAATAATAATAAAACATTAGTTCGTTAGTTAGCTTATCGAAAGGAATTTCCATACGTACCGCTTAGCTTCGAAGTTAACAAAAGAACTTCAAATAACAATAAAACCTTCTCTGAAAAATCAAACTAAACTGATTTTCAACCGTTAAAGATATGTTGCTTCTTCGAAAAAAGTCTTCACTTAGCTCTTTCATATTTAAAAAAATTATTATTCAATGAATTTAATATAAAATTGTGATTAAGAGAATGGAGAACATAAACCAAAGTAATGATCGGAAATGATTGCATCAAGGT